AATCACATGAATCTCCCGCCCCGGACACACAAGCACGCGGTTTGATTGGCTAGAGCTTGTACTGGCATATGATTTGATTGGCTGACGATTCTCAACTTTTGAAGCGAGCAAAGCGAAGCGACGCTCCCACAATGCAGTTCGGCAAAGCGTGACTTCACCCCATTCAAAGTGAATGGGAAGAAGCGTTGAAGCTTCAACGCACGCCGCCGTGTGGACGGGCCGTTACTTCTCGTACTTTAAGTATATTTAGATGCAAATACTTTTGTACTTTTATTTGAGTAACATTTTGAATGCAGGACTATGATTTTTAACAGAGTATTTTTACACTGTAGTATTGCTACTTTGACTTGAGTAAATAATGTTCTTCTACCTCCTCTGCTCATAATGCTACAACACTGCAGCTCGCAATGTTTTTGTTTAGTCTGCGAGTCTCGTCCTTAAGTGAGGGCATGTTTCAGAGTGTCAATCCCGTGTTATGCAATCATCTTTTAACACAAGAAAGCACAAATTAACCGGGTCAAATATCTGTGTGTACCCACAGTCACATTGTGATTCTGATAACATGACATACACACGGCATGCTCGATACCCCGCTGAACCGCAGACGATCCCAGAACAGCTGTTTACATGCCTCCGTGCCCCTCTCCTCTCAGCCAGGCTGACATCATTCCCAGCATCCCCTCCTTCTTGTCTCTCCTTTGGATGGGCTCTGTTATGACAAGTTTAATTGAGGGTTGTCAAGCCATAACATTTCTGTAAATATTAGACTTGCCAAGAGCGCCAATAAGAGGAAATGGCCTTACTGTATGTTCTTCTCCCAGGAGCACAATGTGTGCCTTTGTAAGTGGATCGCCAAGAGGCATTTTGATACCCCACTTTTGTCTCTGTGAGCTAGCATAACATACATCTAATTCTTATTATGGAGCGGTATCCACATAAAGACATCCTCTGAGGAACTATTACAGCTAAATTAACACTTGGATTAGACAGAATAGATGATATAATGTGGAACTACTTAACACACTAACAGCCAATAGCAATACATGAAACAACATGTATTGTATCTGCATGGTATAAAGCTCTGGTTTGATATGAAGTGTTTCATTTTCTTTCATATAATGATGATTACATGTTTTGCAGTCATAGAATAGTTACACAGCTGACATCATCTGTTATGTCTTTGTATACAAAAGCTTCCTCATTGATCAAAGCTATGACAACCATGGCTATAAATGGTCATGTGTTATTGTAACGTTTTTTTTTTTTTTTTTTGCGAAACACCTGGTCCAATGAACACTGGAGGTTATTTTAGGTTTTCTGGGAGTGGGGATGGTGAGGTGTGGGGGTTGAAGAGAGGAAAAGCACCCTTGAGTCATTAGTTAGGGCCTGCATGATTTACTTGTGTGTGTTTGTTTGAAGCCTCCATTGTGTTTTTGGAGAGTGTGTTTCCAGTAAGTGACATGGAGCCTTACTCACCTGGGGGGAGGGGGGTGAGTCAGTGTGCATCATCAGTCCCGGCTAGCCAGCCATTGAGCGGGGGTGGCGGCGGGTAATAAATGCTAGAGAGGGCTAAGCTTTCCCAAAATTCTCTTTACTGTCGAGCACACCAACCAATGTTTGCTAAAAGTCTCATGTGCAGGCTACTGCTACGATATATTGAGGCCAGGAACTCCTGTAAGGCTACGGTTACATTTAGAAGATATCTACACATTATAGACATCCTGTAAAGCACTTTTAAAGGTGACTTCACACTGCACTAGAAAAAGTTATACAAAACTGTGTTGGTATTTGGAAAGATGGGCCAGTGTTTTCTTTCTGTCAAATGTGCAAATGTTGTCCTCCCGTATGAATACTGACCGGTCTGTTTCGACTGTTTAAAAAGCATATACTGTAAATCATTACCCAGATCTGTGTCACGCCTTTTAAGCCGACTTCATTTCAACTCTTTACCACAAGTCTTACTATTCTTTGTGTGTGCGTATGGTCAATAGACCAAATCAACAAAAAAAACATGTTTTGGTTAAAAAAGACAATTATTTACTAAAGCTCAGATCATAGGGACATAGTTGGATTGATTGACTTGTATGTTTAAGTTTCTAGTGATCATTTATTTATGTTGCAAAGAATGTGGTATGAAACCGTCCATGATATTTTGGTGACATGTAGATGACACCTTATTCCGACATTTTAGAAATCCGTCAAACTCGACCCGAGGACAACAGGAAGTTAAAGCATTATCAAACTGTTTTCTCACACATGCAATGTAACCCCTGAATTTGTCTAGCCATTACCAAGAGGAGATTTATGGGAACAATGATTTACACCAGATATCAAACAAACGTTACCATGCAAGCTCCCTGAGTCTGTGATGTGTCTGATGATGCTATGGTCCCATTCACACCAAGCGAGTAGAGGTGGAAATACAATTTCTATCGTAGCTGGCGGGAAACCAGAAGAAAACAAACATCTGAGGGTGAAGAAGACCGGTAATTTTATGCTAAAACATGAACTAAAATGTCTAACTGGAGAGACAAACCGATTCGGGAACTGCAGTCTGTAGCGGCGAAGCCAACATCGTCAGACAAATTCAAGAAATGGCAACACACTACCTCGTTTACGACCAAATTACAAACCAAGCTAAGTGACCACGGTGTGATTCAAACCATGTAATGTCGTCACTCTTGCACACTATACCCAGAAGCCCCCCATCACCATTCAATTATAACACTTCAATGGTCTACTATTGTGTGCTACATGTGTGGAAGGGAAACTCAGTGAGACAGATAATGCTCGGCTTAAATGATTTTGTAATGTCCTACGTTACAATTGAAACAAATACTCAGATGGAATAATGTCCTCGCTCCCTCCCTCCCTCCCCGACAGCAGCCGCTAAAGAGCCTTCCTTAACAAGAGGCTGCTGGAGATATAACTCAGCACTCCTGGCCCAATAACCGGTGAAATATGAAAATTGACAGCGCCGTCAGGGCGGTCATGCCACATGTTTACGAGGGGCTGACTTAACTGGCCGCCTCTGTGCTCCATAAGTCATACGCAGAGTGCTCATCATAGAGCGGGGATTTATGAGGCCTGAGTCTGCATATGACCCCCGCCCCCCTGCCATAGAAGAGGAATCATTATCTATACCCAGCCACTATAAGCTTCATAGACTTACTCAGAGCAAATTGGCTCTGGGGTCTGCTCCTCCTGTAAACACAGCCTCATGTGTGTCTAGCAAGAGAGCCACACATCAATTTCCAATTATGATGAAAGACTATGTGCATTGTAATTGTGACTAGAGATCATAAACACATATTTACTATCAAAATATACTCCATCCTTCACTTGCAGAGATGTCGAGTGTCTATGTTTGTTGTTGGTTATGGGTTTAAACATTCAGGTCTATAATAGAAATATGTCTAACCTCAATATGTAACGTCTTTAGAGGTATAACCCTTTGTTGATTGGACAAGACCATTTGTCTTTATAACTTGTTTTTATTTGTTCCTGACTTTTTATTTAGTATCTTGTCTTACTCGGGAAAGCACTTTGGGCTGCATTTTGCATGATAGGTGCTTTATAAATAAAGTTCATAATTATTATAATACATACTGGTTCCACCAAGTGCAGTTTTTGATGCAGGTCCAAACATTATTTGGGGCAGCAAACATTTCCAAAAAAACGTTTTTCTCTCTTCTGAAAAACAACATTGTGCAACTGAACGTGCAGCCAAACATACTCAAAGTGTTATAATAAGGATGTGAGTCAACAATAACGTTGGTGATAGATACATTTCATAGTAGAAGCAACCCTGTGTTTCACAAGTGGAAAGCTTTGAATATGAAGCAGCGGGAAATCTATAGTAAACAAAACAGACGAGATACAACTGTAGAGAGTGAGAAGTAAACAGGAGGCTGATATCAGTAAGATGGAAAACAAAATGGACTGCACGCTGCAACATGTCCCTTCCACATGCCATGGAAATAGTGGACGCCATCGCTAACGATAATAACTATTATATTGATATAATTACAGACTCATGACACATTGAGCAATGCACAAACAATGCATTGAAATGCTTTTACTCAAGGAATGCAGACTGTAAATATTACTAAAACTTGTTTTGTTTTTTCTTATTTCTAATTTTGTTGCAATCAGGATGTGTATTTTGCAAATTGTGTTTAATTATAATTTTTGTATCCTTAATACTTTCTTATGTATGCTTCTTAGGTAACATTAAGCTGTCTTTGGCTCTTTTCTGCTGTAACTATGTACATTTCCCCTCTGTGGGACTAATAAAGGTATTCTGATTCTGATTCATATCTTAACCCAAAATACAGGTTAACAGATCAGGTTTGGTCACCATCAGAAATGTAAATGCAATGACGTCTGCAACTGCTGCTAGTACTCAGATGGGTAAAAACACATTTCACTGTGTGTGTGCTGTGTGCATGAACATGTGTGACCATTAAAGAGGGTTTCATCCTCCAATTCTATCTCTTCTGTTTGACTGTCACACAGTGTTCATTAACAACTAAAACCATAATACATGTTCCTGTCTACTGCTGTATCCCCCTTGTGTGTTTCAGTCTGGCCCGGCATGCTTTGTTTGTGAATAGATCAGGTTTGGTCAAATGTATGCACTAGGGGTGGGAATCACCAGTCTCCCCACGATACGATACTATCACGATACTTAAGCCACGATACGATAATATTGCAAATCTACGATATGCTAAGTATTGGTATACGATATATTGCGATATTGCAAATCACATGGGTCATGTCCGTCTTCCCTTCCTGGTTAAAAAATGTATTTGCATTATGAATAGTTTATGTAAATAACCCAATTTGTGTTATTGGAACCTAAAAGGGAGATATTGTTTTTGTTACTTTCATTGTAATTATATACATGTGCTTTACGTAACTTCCTGTTTTATATACGACCATCTTTTGGAGGGATATGCCACAGTTTATATATAAAAAAAAAAAAAAAAAAAGTTTATATAATAAAATATCGATACTTGACATCCGTGTATCGATACAATATCGCCACGCAAAGTATCGCGATACTATGCTGTATCGATTATTTCCCCCACCCCTAATATGCACAACTGCTGTTTGACGGTCACACAGTGTTCGTTAAAAACATCTCAAACCATAATAAATGTTCCTGGTCTCTGCTGTGTGTTCCAATCTGGCCCGGCATGCTTTGTTTGCATTTTTGCACAGAGAATGTGTGGCATTGACAGAGAGCTGGTCAAGGGAAGGGCTGGAGGCAGAGAGCCAGCAGGGACAGCAGCTCTGAGCGGGGAGGATGAGGATGAACACCGCTCACTGCTGGTCACGCTGCCTCTGGGCTCATCCTGGGGCAGCGTGACCTGGATCTGAAGCATAGCCTCAACCAAAGCTTGGACTGCTCACCCACAACAAGGGAGAGAGACACCATGTGTTGTCTACTGGGGAGGAGTTTCATGGACCCTGGTGGGAAATGTTCAAAATCAAAAAGTCGCTACAGAGCTCCACTGTTTAGAGTCAGGCAGACGTGGAATGTAACTAAGTATTTGTACTCAAGTGAACCTTTGGGGTGCTTGTTTTTAAATTCAAAAAATCAGGATACATATCATTTTTCAGAGTAATATTTCATATTTTACTGTAGGGTTCTTTCCCCTCTTACTCTATGTATGCAACACTATTCATCCTGATTATGATATCTTATGCATTTTTACATTATGTTTATCCTACTCTTTCTCAAGCACACTTTTAAATGTTTTCATTGTAAAAATGTATTTTCACACTGACACTTTTACTTCTTCCACCTCTGGTTTCCGGCTTGGGTGTGAATGACGGCTGAAATGAAGGATTCTGGGAAATGAACATGACTTTGGACAGTAGTGTGTCCACAGCTCAGCAAGAGGCATGTCGCGCTGCCACAGACTGACATCCATGCAAATCATAACAGAAATGACAGACTAGCCCCCCCACCCCACCCACTGCAGCAATCATGTCAGCATGCCAGCCCGACAGACAACAAGCTACCCCACCCCTGTGCCTGCAGACAGACTGGGACAAATTGGGACAATCCCCCTCCATTACCACCCACTCTTCCTCTCCATTGCGCGCCGCAGCAGCCTCTGCTCAGGGGGCTAATTCCACGTTCAGATCACCATTTGTACTTATTATGCTGACATAATTAATCCCCTGTTGTGATCAGCGGGGGCATGAGGGCCTCTCCGCTCCATTGGCCTACCCCTGCCATGACACAAGTCCCCCCCCCTCCTCCGTCTCTCATTCAAATCTGCTCCTCACTCCCGCCCATGTCCATCTTGTCTGGGTGAGGAGGTCTTCTGTCTATCTCTCTGTAATCTGCAGTGTATCTGTCTGTGTTATTGTTGGTCCTGTTGTGGCGGTGGACTGACAGGCTGACAACTCCACCAAACAGTCACATGTTTGAACGCTCACTGAGAAAACTGAAGCATCAGAGTAAAGGGGACACTTTTGTTAACACTCAAATGTGAGTTAAAATCAAATCTGTCTGATCTTTGTCCTGCTTGTGAGGAGTGACATCAGTCCTCTCTGAACATTCAAGCAGTGACACTGAGCTGGTCACCTGCAGGTCAGTGCATCATGCGCTGTGCAAACAATACCCGGGATATGGGTTTGATTTCGACTGCCGGCTCTTACGGTAAAGAGCAAACTCACATGCTGAGGATGAGGACGGACGGGAAAGGGAAGAAGGAGAGAGGACAATGAGGGAGATGGGGAGGGGTTCTCATCAAAAAACACCAGCTGGATTAATAAATCCAACCAGCGACTGTGTCCACATCTTAAAATGTGAGGCAGATTAAAACAGGGCCGTCTCAAGTCGAGAAACATATGTCAGCAAGGCTGAGCAAACACTGAGAATAATAAGTGAGGAGATGAGTGCTGCATCAGCTGCTTCCTAGAAATCAAAAGACCCAATTTCTGAACTTTGATCTTCACAGAAGGGCGTCATGTTTGTGTATTTGTGAGGTCAAAGATCTGAAATAAAACTAGCAGGACGTTTTTCTTTTATTGAATAATGTGTGTGGCGATAGACAAATATATGATTCCAGGAATATATTGCCATATCCAGTATTATGCAAGCAATGTAAACACGAATGATGTAGAAACGTAGCTCCCTGAATTCTGGTATTTTCAGGACTTAAAAAAATAATTCACACTTCTTTTTTAAAGTGTTTTTTAAGTATGCAAACCACAAAAAAATGACCAAAAAGCAGGCTGAGCAGGGATGTACAACAATGTATTTACTTAGATTTTATAAAAAGCTTATTACACAAGTTCTGCTAGTCCCATCTTCTTTTGTCGCTCTCCTAATGGAAACACCTTCCTGAGAAAAAAAACTATAACAATAATATTTTGGGTCTCATTTCAAGTGCAACTTTGTGAAAATCCAATAACAGGTCACTAAAAATGTAACATCCTGACCATTTGGCATGAGAGGATACCCAGAACACCTGCTAGCTCTGGGAAGCTGTGTGTTATTCTGGCCAGAGCAGAGAGTGTACAGTCAACAGGTCTGCGTGTACCACTGCAGGAATTCATTACAAATACCAAGAAAAAAACATGAAAGAAAGAACGTTTTTCATCTATGTGAATTCTGCCAAATTTGAAGGCTAACTTCGGTCAATATGTTGAACTGTAACGTTAAGCAACAGGTATTAGTTATGAAAGGATGAGCAATTAGACTTTGGACATGTGACTCTATTTGTAGTTCAGATCAATTCAGAGAAAAAAAATTCTATTTTTTATCAGTTTTTTTTTTGGCTCTGCTGCTTGATACCATCATGTCAAATTCCAGGAACACTACGCCCATTACCCCCTCACCCTCCCCCTCTCTCCTCCCATAACCCCCCTCCCCCCACTCCTCATCTTTACATAAAAGTTCAGGCTGCATATTAAAAGGAGCTAAAATATTCACACCGTCAAAGGTGGTCAAAGGCTTCTGCGTTCACACAGGAGCTGACAAAGAGGAGGCACCCAGCGCTGGGCCAAAAGAGAACTGTTGAAATAAATCAGCACATACAAAGACACAGAGAGATAATGGGGCTGGAGCTGGGCCTGATCCAGAAACAGGAACACACTGCGCACCAGAACACACACACACACACACACACACACACACACACACACACACACACACACACACACAGACACACACACACACACACACACACACACACACACACACACACACACACGGTGCCTGGCTGGGAACAAAGTCTGTGCATAGATTAATATTTATTTGTGCAGTACACATTGTTCAGGACATACAGTATCAGAGGATGACAAAAACATCATAAACTCCCCCTGTGTGCAACCTTGCCATGAATCCCATGCCTGCATCAAACAAATAACAAATAACAAGAGCAAAATCCACAGATGGCTTCACATGGGGGAGTGCAAGAGGGGAACCGATATCTCAGAGACATCCGCCGAAGCCCTGTGCGAGGTGGTAGTAACAGTAAGCAACAACTCCAGGGCTGAGCAGTGACGTCCATGTGAAGTGCCAACAACTGCAGTTCATCAAACGGCCACTTAAAGCAGACTCAGTAAGTAACTAAACAAGATTCAAGGGTTTTATTGACATATTCAAAGTAGATACAGTGTAGTTATGGCAATGCAAATATTAGGTCCCAAGCTCCTCCAACAATGGAACATATTATATATAGGATATCAAAAAAAGGGTTAGGGTTTATTTATAAAAAATAGTGCATTGAAACAGAGTACGATACATTTGAATAAAATAGTGCAGGTCATTTTGCTAGACCACTCTACAAGTAGTCCCGATGAAGTTAACTATATACATGTCAGAAAATAAATAAGGTAAATTATGCAGATAATGTTGAAAGTGACATATTTACTGCCTGGTACAAAAAACAGCTTTGGTCTCTATAACTAATTTTTGGGTTTATAATCAAATAAGGGGTCCACATTTGTATACAGCTTTCATTTTAAGGTGTGGAGTTACTCATTGTTAGGAGCCTGGTTGCTTTGAGTGACAACTGTCTGCTCCACAGGGGCCCGCCTCCAATTTACCGAAGATGCCAAGATGGCGATGGACAAATTCACCAACTATAGCTTCACAACAGCTCTACAGAAACTTACAGTATGGGTGACATCAAGGACACTATGTTCATATTTTATATTGTCTCTTGGTATTAATCACAGTGATGCAAACACAGGTATGGTGAAAAAAGAGAGAACTATTCGAAGCAGAAAAAAAACAGCGTAATATACCATCTGACAATGACAGATTTTTATTTTTGGATATTTTACAAATCACTCCCCTTTCAAACTCTATTCTTGTTATTTTTAACAACTTTTTTTTGTTACT